AGTGAGGGTGTTTTACACGCGAGACGGGGATAAGCCATTGAAGACCAAGAGGCAAACTGTGGTAGCCCGCCTCCAAGGTGACTGCCAATCATCCTTACTTCCTCGTGTTCAGGCCCATGTGAAGTCCTTGGATAGACTTGACCTAGGTAGCCAACCAAGTAATGCAGAAATGACAGAGTGGCTGCTGAGCGTTGGCCATTAGAAAAACTGTAATTTCCATATTGCTCTCCTGGGTCCCTTGCTCTGGAGAAGCCAGTCGGCTGTATTCCATGAGGACTCTCTGGCTGCTCTGTGAAGTGGTCCAAACGGTGAAGAACTGAGACCTCCTGCCAATAGCCGTACGAGCACCAGCCACCTTGGAAAGAGATTATCCAGCCAGCCGAAGATGGCTGCAGCCCTGGCCGACACCCGGACTGCAGCCTTGGGAGAGACTCAGAGCCACAGCCACCAGCTAAGCGCCTTCCGAATTCCTGACCCACAGAAGCGGTGTAAGATAATACATGGGGCTTTTGTTTGTTTGGGGCTGCTAAGTTTTAGGATAATGGGTTATACAGCAATTGATAACAAATACACAGGGTATGTTAACTATATATCAAAAGACAAAAACTGTTGAACTTTAGTTAATGGTATATATGCTGAAATAATGAGGGAGAAGATTACGGATGTAGTCTTCAAAGTATATGTGCAATATATTTTGAAATGCGTAAAAAGATAGATTAATGAATGAAGAGAAAGCTGGAAAGACACAGATGTATATATTGGGTTGTTGGAAAAGTCATGATGCATTTTTGCATAGAAAAACATACAAAAATAATGACACAAATTTTCTGATAACCCAGTACTTAAGAGTGTAGCAAAATGTTAGTGGTAAAATAGTTAAGGGGGGGGCACTATAAAATCCTTTTTACTTTGCTATATGCTTGACATTTTTCATATTAAAATGTTGAGGGTGTGGGCCAGGCGGCGGTGTAGGGGTTAAGGTACTAGACTCCTACATGGCTGACTGCGGTCCTCCTCCTGGACCCAGCGGCTTGAAATTTACACCGGGCAAATGTATGTGCATGCCCAAAATCCCAGGAAGAGAATGAAAGAGAAGGAACTGCAGTGTGGCCATCCCCCCATGGAGTGATTTCCCTCTCACTGTCTCTCTCCTCTCCAAAGGGCACACACCGTTTGGCAAAAACCTTAAAAAACAATTGGATAGTATCTCAATTATTTAGGATGGCGAGTTTATGGAGGTACATGGGGTCCATTCGAGGATGGGAAAGACGGAGCCTACTGTAGAGACACACTTGCTTTTCTCTGCAGCTTGTCTTTCACGACAATAACAGTGACCTCAGTGGCTGAGAAAGGTGACTGGTGAAAGGTCCCGAGTTAGACCAGGAGAGGATGTGGAGGCGCCGAGACACCTGGTGACTCTAAAGGGTCTCGGGCTAGGACAGAGGGCAGAGAATGGGACCTTGACACAGAGGCCCTGAAGGGACCCGCGGAATCACGCCCAGGGACTAAGCGGACCAGCTACTCTGCCAGAGCGGCTTTGAGGCCAGGAGTGCGGGGAGTGCATGACAGACAGGAAGTCTCCTCCTGAACCACCATGAGGCTCTCAAAGGCAAAAGAGGCGGGAAGGAAACACCGCCCAGGCCCCGAAGGTACAGGCTGTCAGTGGACAGTCACTGAGCTAACCAGTCTGACATCTGACTGAAAAACAGTAGGTGAGATTCCAATGAAGATACCTCCTCTGGGGAAGTAATTTTCCTCGATAAGCCTCTATCTCTTTTCACCAGTAAAATGTTAATAAACTATTTAATAACTTCTTAAGGCTGTTGTGATCAAAGGGGACTTCGATCACTAACAGGTCTGCATCCCCGAGTTAAAGTGTGTCGATTTCAACCTGGCTGCATGTCCAGGTCTCTGTCCACACATCCCCGGGGTACTGACATGTATACACACATAGCACAGAGCCTGCAGGGCCTGGCCCAGGAAGGCACCAGGAGATAGTCAAGCGGCAAGGACAGCAGCCGATTTTTGCCAAGACCCAGGCTCGTGGCTCTTCATCCCTCGCTACGCCGCCGCCGCAGCAGCGGGCCATACCTTGTTTGATGATGGGAGGCTTGAGGTCGGTGTCCACCGAGAATGAGAACATCTTCCCACTGGCGCTCACGGGCCGCCGATGGGAGGCTGGTGGGACCAGGGGGGGCCTGGGGAACCCCTGAGACCAGCTCCTTTGCACGGGTGCTGGCTGCATGCCTTGGTGGAGGGGGAAATGCAGGGTTGAGGGTGATGGGTTTGGCTGCTGTGTGACCTGAGGTGGCTGTGGCCTTGGCCAAGGTGCTGGACCCCTCATCCATGTGTAGGAGACCTGCAGGGGTAGACAGGAGGGTCAAAGGGGGTTATGATCAGCTGAGATAGTCTCACTTTTTTGTTCTGACCACATAATTGTTGCCCTAGGTCTCAGCATATAAGTCACCTCCCCCAGGAAGTCTTCCTGGATGCTTCTCAAGTTTGGGAAGGTGGTTCCTGCCATGGGTTACACCACCACTTAGCAGGTGTGTCCTATACACCAGGCGCCCTGCCGTTTTCATTCATCGAATATACCCGGCACTCTGTGATGACACCAGGTGGGCGAGACCAAGTGACATTGCCAAGAGCTGGCAGAATGTCACCTCTCAGGCATTAGGGACTTGTCATCTGTCTTGCTTACCATTGTATGAGGAGATTTCCAAAAGTTCATAGGAAATTAACTTCTTTGTTTTGGTGCCAAAAAATTTGAAATCCATGCACTGGTTTTTTGTTGTTGTTGTTTTTAAAAAGCATGTATTTTCCATGAACTTTTTGAAGACTCCACATATCCTCGGCATGTAAAATGAACACCTGGCACATACCAGATCGATCCTCCAACACTGGCTGAAAGAATGAACGAGCAAGTCAATGAGACTCACGCCCAGCTCTCTGGGACTAAACAGCCTGCTCTCCATCCCCCACACTGTGGGTCTCTCTGTCCCTGAAAGCCGAGAGACCTGGACCGTCCGGGAAGGTGACCGTCCCATTAGCCTTAGACCCCAACAACCAGCACAGCTGCTCCACTGGATGCTTTATCATATCTATCAGGGAGCCCCTCATTGTCGGGTTTGTTTGAAGCTGCCTTCAGTGAACGGGTCGTCCAAGTGCAGCTAACAGGGAGGAGCACACGTGGAGAGCTCTGAGCCTGGCTTCTGTCTCAACCTCGGCGGCGGGCTCTCCCTCGGGGCTCGTGGTTAGATGTGGACAAGTGCTGTCACTTACTCCCCCAACAGTCCTCCCGGGAGGGTCTCCTTACTATTATTATATCTTAATGTTTGCTATAGGGGTAAGCGCTTGCTGGATAGAGAGGAATAAGAAAGAGGGAGAGACGGAGTGGAAGCAAGAAAGTACCCCTCGCCCTCAGGGAGGAGGTCACACCACAATCCCGTCTCCACTCCCCTCTCAGGATGTTGGGCACGCACACATGCATGTCCATGTGCCCAGTGTGTTTTTCAAGCCGCTGGATCCAGGACGCAAACCACGCAGTTGGCCGTGTGGGATCTGGCCACACCACTGGCCGGGCCAGGTCTCCTTATTCTTATATCATAAATGAAGCTTGGAGAAGTCACGGAATTTACCCAAGCCCAGACGGTGGTGGAGAGGGAATGGGGTCTCTGTCTCTCCTTGTCCATCTCAGTGTCTCTGTCTCCTGCCTCTCCTCCCTCCCGATCCTCCTGGCAGAAACGACACACTTGCTGAGGAAAAGGCTGAGTGCGAAGGGCTGCCGCCTCGCAGGACCTCACATTTACTTCCGACGCTGCACTTCTCCGTGTGTGCGGGGAGGACCTGAGCTCCGAGGGCTCGGCGAGGAGCAGCGCGGCAGGGTGCCCTCCTGTACCGTCGCTGGGATCTACCCAGAGGCCCTCTGCTGAGGGTCCTGAGCCAGTCTTTAAGCTACTGTCTTCCCAGCCGGCCTAGGATCTCACATTATCCTGAAGACCCCCGGAGTCGGAAAGGAGAACGGCGTTTAAGAAAATCCAGCACCAAGCTCCAACGGCCTGGGGACATCTGCCCCCATTTATAATGGCCCTGGCCCACCTCAACTCTGTATTCGGAGTGCCCTGGAACTGCTATCTTCGGTGTGCTGGCCAACTTCTCCCCCCTGCGCGATCTGCGGTCTCTCCATCTGTCCCTCCTCACTTCCTCTGCTCAGTTTCAGAAGCTGAGGCTCCTGCCCTGCACTAACTTCTCCATTCAACCTGTCCCTTCCCATCCTCTGGGGCCCTCTGGCCTCAGCCACCTCTACGTATTTTTCCATTTAGTTTAATGTTTACCAAATAGGGACCAGCAGATGGCATAATGGTTACGACGATGGACTCCCACATGGCTGATCATGGTTCAAGATCCAGACCTGGCAGCTTAAAAAAACGCACACCTGGCGCATATGCGTGCGTGCCCAAGATCCTGAGGGGAGAATGGAGGAGAAAGGATTGCAGCATGGCTATCCCCTTGGGGGGTGATTTCTTACATTCTGGCTCTCTGTTTCTGGCTCTCTGTCGAGCGCACGTGCCCTATAGCAAAAATCTCTCTCTCAAAAAAAAAAAAAAGTACAATGGGGCCAGCGGGTGGCATGGAGGTTGAGGTACTGGACTCCACATGGTTGAGTGTGGTTCAAGTACTGGATCAGGTGGCTTGCTTTCTCACTTTCCCTCTCTCGCTCTCTGTCTCTGTCTGGTCAAATTGAAATATGATAATAAATAAAATAAAATAAAATTAATATTTCTTTTAAAAAATGTGCTAAAAGAAGGTGAGAAGGGGTAAATTCAAATTACTGGTTGTGGTGGAGGACCCCAGCTTTGCACTGGGATGCTCGGGGAGCCTTCTCGGTAAATGCGCCTCGCTGCTGACTAAATGCAAGGTGTGCCAGGGCTCTGCTTCTGCAGTGGACGGGCCCGAAGCCACTCACCGCGAGGTTCCGATCATCCCTCCCTCTCAGCCATTGCTGTGGGGGGCTAAGCGATCAGCTACTGTATTTCTGGCCATACTGATTGGTTCAGGGCTGGGGCACGTGATCCCATCAGAGTGGAGGAGACCCAGGGAGACTCGATGGAACCCCAGGATTTTTTTTTTTCTTTTTTAATTATTGCTGTTGGGTGCCAGAGAGAAGAGAGAGAGAGAGACACAGAGAGAGAGAGAGAGAGAGAGAGAGAGACAGAGACAGAGAGACAGAGAGACAGAGACAGAGACAGAGACAGAGGACAGAGAGAGGGAAAGTGAGAAATCAGAAATCTCTCTCCATTTCTTCTTCTCATCATGATTTTGGGCTGCACCCAAAAGCACCCTGTGTGTTTTCCAAGTCACTGGCAGAGAGTTGACCTGCCATCGGCCCTGTGAGGCCTGGCTTTCTACTCCCAGTAGTTACCTGTTGTGCTACTGCCGGCCAGAACCCTGGAATCTCTAGCTGCAGGAGAGAGACCTTGTGGGGCTTTGGAATGAATGAAACCACCATTGAAGCACCAGGGCCCAGACGTAGAGAGAGGGACTGGTTTTCGTTTTGTTTCAAATTGTGAAAAACACATAACATAAAACGTATCACCTTACCCATTTGTAAGTGTAGTTGGCATGTAAGTGGTTCCTCTGCCAATGCCTTTCTTCTTTCTTTCCTTTTTCCTGCTCTCTGACAACAGGGTATGGTATATTGCACAGTGCCTTTTTTAGGTTGTTGTGCCTTGAGCGAGCGGATGTTATTCCTGATTTCTTCCACACTATCTTTAGAATAGCAGGTGGCCAACCACCTGGACCACACCCACTGCTGAATGAACACCAGTCAATGATTTACTCGTGACCACAATCCCCTTTCCCAGACCATCTGCTTGTTCTGAGTTACCACTCCAACAACTGCCTCTAGCCTTGCAAGGCTGCATGCGGAGGGGGATGCCCCGAGACTCCAGGCGGCTTGCACACCATGTCTTGCAGGACCTGTGCCTTCTGCCTGGAAGCCCTGGAGGTGTGTACAGAGCAGGGCAGGGGCCCTTGCCCTCGAAGAGCTCCTTATGTTCTCTGCCATGGTTTTGAAAGATTATTTTGGTATGGGGTGTGTGCATTCACAGGAGAGAGACAGAGACAGAGAGAGGGAAAGTGAGAAATCACTTCCCCTGGGGGCTGACCATGCTGCAATCCCATCTCCTCTGTTCTCCTCCTGGGATCTTGGTCACGCATGCACATGTGAGACCATGCCGGTTTGATTTTCAAGCTGCCAGGTCCTGGATTTGTTTTTCCTCCTTAGTCAACCGCGTGGGAGTCCAGCACTTTAACCACCACGCTTTCCATACTTGCAAAAGGATCTCAGCTGGATAGCTGATGAAGAATAGGAGAGGGCCAGCTGGTGGCATGATGGTTTTGGCGCTGGATTCCCACATGGCCTAATGCAGTTCGAGTCCCAGACCCAGCAGTTTGAAAAAAAATCACATCAGGCATGTGTGCGTGCATGCCCAAAACCTTGAGAGGAGAATGGAGGGGAAAGGATTGCAGCATGGTCATCCCCTCAAGGGGTAATTTCTCTCTTTCTCTCTCCGCGTCTCTCTCCAGCAAGTGCACACACCCTATGGCAAAAATCTAAAAGAAGAAAAAAAAAAAAGAATAGGAGATTTTTTCTAAGTTAAAGGATGAAAATAAGAAATACATGGTGCCGAGGCCAGCAGATGACAGGTTACATTGCTGGACTCCCACATGGCTGACTGCAGTTCAAGTCCCGGACCTGGCGGCTTGAAACTCATGCTGGGTGTATATGCGTGCATGCCCAAGACCCTGGGAGGAGAATGGAGAAAAAAGGATTGTGGTGTGGTCGTGCCCCCTGGAAGGTGATTTCTCACTTTCACTTTCTCTCTCATTATCTCTGTTTCTCTCTCCAACCAGCACATGCACCCTAAAGCAAAAACCTCTAAAAAAATAATAAAAAAAAAGAAAAGAAATACATGGTGTGAAAAACAAAATGTTATATGGGCTGCTGATAAACAGGATTTTTGGGGAACATTGATGACTCCTTCAAGAAAGCGAATTCATATGGTACATGAATGCCCTTCCAGTATCCTGGAAGCAGCCTAGGGACCATGGCCTCTACCCATTCAAGGCTGATGGCATATCCCTGTTGACCTGAGGAGGGCTGGGGCCAGCTTGTATTGGCTCATGTACGAGAGGGAGAAAGACAGAGAGGAAGAAAAGTACCCTGAGCAGGGTTTCCCGCTGCGATTTCCCCCAAACCTGTCAGCCGGCCAGGAGCATGGGTGCGGGCATGTGCTTAGCCACAGGCATCCACCCAGGAACTGAACCCCCACCTGCCATTTGGTTCCCACCATTGCC